GGATTTAGCTCAGCGGCAAAAGCGCCTGCCTGGCAAGCGCAAGGTCGTGAGTTCGGTTCCCGGTACCGGAGAAAAACCAAAAAAAAAAAAAAAAAAAAGTTCTAAAAGGCTCATCATCACCATTCTAGGAATTAAGGCCGGATAGCCTGGGGGAGGGTGCCATTCAGCCTCCTATACTTAATGGTTAAAAAAAAAATTTTGCTTTTGAGGCAGGGTCTCCCAGTATAGTTCAGGCTGGCTTTGAACTCGCTATGTAGTCCAGGCTGGATTACAGGTGTGTGATACCACGCCTAGCCAAAAACTCTAGATTTGTCCCTTAAATCAGTGCAGATGTCAGTGACCATCCAGCTGCTCAGGCCAGAAACCTAGCAGTTATTCTAGAGTCCTTCCTTTCTCCTCACCCTTTATGTTCAATCTGTCTGTAAATCCTTTGACTCTGGACAACTAGAATCTACCAATCTCTCGCTGTACAACTGGAATAGCATACTACATTACCATTTTTCTTTCACCAATTCATTTTCCATCAGGTAGGTACCTAGACTGTTCTTTAAAATTTTTTCAGGACATCCTTTTTGTCTTTTAAAACCTCTCAGTGGCTTCCATCCTCCAGCTTCAGGTGGACTGTGCTCTGAATTCCTTACCATGGCTTCCAAGGTTCAGTATGTTTGAAGCTCTCTCCAGTTCACCTAATGCCACCTCTGCCTTGCTCTCTGTACCTGGGCCACATTGGTGTTCTTCTCTTCAATTCTTTTTTTCCCCCAAGGTAGGGCCTTCACATTGAACTACATAGCCACCCACCCCTTTTTTTAATTTTTAAACTTTGAGACAGGGTCTGCTAAGTTGCCCAGACTGGGCTTAAACTTGTAACCCTCCTGCCTTGGCTGCCCAGGGTGCTGGGATTACAGGCATGAGCCACTACTTCTGGCTTTTTTCTTTTTTCTTTTTTTTTTTAATATGAGAAGACATTGGCCACTTCCTTGGCCAATTTCCTCAGCCTGGTGTATATCTTCTTTCTTCCATTCTTAGTTTCAATGTCTTTTTTTTTTTTTTTTCTTTCCAGTACCGGGAATCGAACTCACCACCTTGCGCTTGCCAGGCAGGTGCTGTGCTGCTGAGCTAAATCCCCAGCCCCTTAGTTTCAATGTCATCTCCCTGGTCTGAGAGGCTGTTTTGAACCCATCCAGTCGGGTGTGTCCTTCCTGTCTAAGCTACCTCGATCTCACTAGGTTCTCACAAAGCGCCATGTTTTTTTCCATAGCATTTTTTAGTGTTTTGAGACAGAGGCTTTCTGTGCAGTTCAGGCTGGCCTTGAACTATTTAGCCCAGTCTGACTTTGAACACAGTCTGACTTTGAACACACAGTGATCCTTCTGCCTCGTTTTTTTTTTTTTTTTTTTGAGACAGGGTCTTGTTATGTAGCCCAGGCTGACCTCAAACTCACAACAATCCTCCTGCCTCAGCCTCCCAAGTGCTGGGATTATAGGTGTGTGCTGCCACACCCAGCTTCATAGCATTTTTTAGAATTTACACTTACTTGTTTTTTGCAGGGAGGTTTCACTATGTAGTCCAGGCTGGGGTTGAACTAACTGTATAGCCCAGGCTGGTTTCAGAATTGCTGCGATCTTCTAGCCTCAGCCTGTCAAGCGCTGGGATTACAAATACGCACCACCGTAGTGGGCAGTCAATGTGTACTTTTAAATGTGGCCTTGCTACATCTAATACTTGCTACAGAGTATTAGATGTCTATTTGTAAGACATAAATTCTTCTGAGGCTTTCAGGAAGAAGTCCAAATTTCTTAGCATGGCACACAAGGCCCTTTGTGATGTAGGGGTGCCCATCTCCACTTTATCTTTAATTGCCAAATTTATCTTCAAATTTAATCTCAGTTCCTGTGCACATAGTGTTCTCATTGCCTGAAATGCCCTTTTCATCTGTTGACTCAGCTCCTTGCAGGCCTAGTCTCTTCCCTGTGTGCTGACATCTTTCATACATACTATCACACTGTTGTAATTGTCTGTTTTTCTTTTTTCCTCCACTGAGCCATAAACTCCTTGAAGCAAGATTTAGTATCTCTGCTGGGCATGGTGGTGCACACTTGTAATCCCAGCACTTGGGAGGCTGAGGCAGAAGGATTCCTGTGAGTTCAAGAGCAGCCTGGGTGATGCAGTGAGTTCAAGGCAAGCCTGACCTACACAGTGAGACCCTATTTCAAAAAACAAAGGATTATTATATCCATCTTTGCAATTTCTTCCCAAAGGAGGGCTCAATACAAATCTATTTTCATTTGCTATCCTAGTACATATTTATGTTATATGGCAGGGGACATTATATCTTGCATGTATCCACAAATGTGGTTAGCTTGCTTTGTATTAAGACTGATAAGTTTATATTCCCAGCCCCGTTTTTATCCCAGCAGTCACATTTTAAGAATTTATATTGATAGTGCATTACTAAGCACTATCAGTTTAGGTAGGGTTAAGCTTCAGATGTAATAACTCTTATAAAATGCTAGCAAACTGAACATTGCAGTGTCAGCTTGCCACTGAGTTGATTTCTCTGCTAAATTATCACAGCGACTGTGATAGAGGCGGTGGACCTAGAGGATGTGGGAGACACGGTGCTGTGCAGCTGAACACAGCAAAAGGGAAATCAACATCCTTCCATTACTAGCCTTTAGAAGATTCAAAAGGAAGTAAAAAGTATAGAACAGCAAGTAATCAGCTTTCATGGTCCGTCAAGTGATAAGAATTACAAGAAGCTGGAGAGGATTCTAACAAAGCAATAAAATTTTTGAAATAGGCTCTGTACCTACAGAAAGAGAAGGAGACATTCAGCAAGCTAGGAAGAGGGTGGTGAGGAGACAGAATACCTTCTCAAAGAGTTGGAGCAAATGCAATCTGCTCACACTGGATCAAAATACAGAGCATCTTCAAAGAAGTCCAGGCCCTCATGAAAGAGGAGATTGTGCCCTTGTACAGCCGAGGCAGCTATGTAACTGATGAAATTGCGGAGGGCATCCAGGATATCGTTCCAAGGCTGACGCATGTTAAAACTGGAGGAAAGAGCTCCTTGTGGAAAGCAAGGTATCACACTAACCAAAATCTGTGCTGTGCAAGAGATTATTGAAGACCACATGAAAAAGCAGCCTTTTGCCACTCTCTGAAGATGTGCATCCTTCTGTCACCAAAATCAACTCTGATGTGTGACGCGAATAAGACCAGAGGTGGTGACACGCATCTGATGAGAGTGGACAGTAATGGGACTTGCAGGCACCCGAGCTGGATGCTCTGGGTATGTGCAGGCATTCAGGAATCAGAAACTATCAGAAGGAAGTAGTTGAAGATATAACGAATTACTGAAGTATTTGGATTTAGAAAAGGAAGCCAATACCACTTGTGCATTTGATCTGAGACAGAACCATTCCATTTTGAAAATAGAAAAGGTCCTCAAGAGGATGAGAGAAATAAATTGTACCTGAGTTCTGGGTTTGATTGGACAACTGGATGAGGTAAGTCTCGAGGAAGCCAGCGGAAGCACAGTGATTGAAGTGCAAACCCTGGCCCCTGACATCAACCTGAAGGAGGCCCTGAGGAGAGGAAGCAGTTCACTTGTGAGGAGTACCTGTCTCATAAGGCAGTCTAGGATGTTCCTGGAAACCTGTTAGAGATCCAGGGAGAAGTCCTTTCTTGCTTGATGGAAATTGAACTGATAAAGAACTACACCCGGCTGGAGGAGCTGCTGAGCAAGCAGTTGCTGGCCCTGGATGCTGTGGACCCACAGGGACAGGAGAAGTATAAGGCTGCCAGGAAACAGGCTGTGAAGCTCGCCCAGAACATCCTTAGCTCTTTTGGTTTGAAATCCAATGAGTAGGAATTCTAAAATGCAAGAGCTCCTACACTGATCTTGCTTGTTTTGGACTTTATATATACTTCTATGCATTTATGGAGAGTTTTCAGTTCATGGAGCCTATGTATGATTTATATATGCATATTTCAATCTCAGTATTTATGATGTAAGCAAATTATATCCAGGAACTTTGCTGCATTTGTCTTTTTGAGACAGGATTTCACTATGTAGTCCAGGCTGGCTTTGAACTCACTTTGTGGCCCAGGCTGGCTCTGAACTCACAGTGATCCTGTGTCCAAAGTGCTGGGATTACAGGTGTGCACCACCACACCAGGCAACACTCTGCTGCTTTTGATGTTGCAAAACAAATATTATTACAGTACATTAGCTTTTCCTTTTTTTGGTACCGGGAATCGAACTCACGACCTTGCGCTTGCCAGGCAGGTGCTGTGCCACTGAGCTAAATCCCCAGCCCCCAACTTTTCCATTTGGATCATCCATATGATGTGTGATTTGTTTGGTTTGATTTTTGTGTTTTGCTTCTGAGTTTTTAATCAGAATATGAAATAGAAACAGCATTCATAATTTTAAATGGGTTGTGCAAGCATTAAAAAGGAAGAAACTTTAAAATCTAGAAATAACATAACCTTACATAATACTAGGGAAATCATAAGAAGGGGAAAATTTTTTGGTAAGGTCTAAGCAGCAAGTCTTATTATGTTAAATATACCTGAAGGTTTGTTTGTTTATTTTCTTCACTTATAAGGCCTGATTGGTCCCACCTAGTGTGAGATGGGATTGTTTGCATGTTTGTGGGTTGGTTTTTTTTTGTCTTTTTGAGATAGGGTTTTAGTATGCAGTTCAGGCTGGCCTTGAACTCACTTTGTAGCCCAGGCTGGCCTGGAACTCACAACGATCCTCCTGCCTCAGCTGTGAATGCTAGGGTTATAGTTGTGCCCCACCACCCTGTTCTATGGTTGTTTGTATTGCCTGTTCTTTCATAAACATTTGTTTGAAAAAGAAAAAGGTAATTGTCTAGTGGGTTGACCTGTTTTAGAGCAACTTTGGAAGGAAGGATTGTCTTGCCCAAAGCCAAAATGGAATCACTAGAAAACTGGTATTTTTTTTTTAACTGAAGTTAGTTTCATTACATTAGTGTGACTAGATTTTGCAATAGCCAGTTGTTTGTTCATAGTGGGATCACTTCCTTTTCTTTTTCTTTTTGGTCTTTTTGAGACAGGGTCTCGCTATGCAGTTCAGGCTGGCCTTGAGCTCACTTTGTAGCCCAGGCTGCTCTCAAACTTGCAACGATCCTCCTGCCTCAGCCTCCTGAGTGCTGGGATTACAGCTGTGTGCCACCACACCCAGCAGGGATCACTTATAAATGATTTCATTCCAGTTAGATAGTCTCAGAATGATAGTCTGCTTTTTAGAACTTGTTTTTCCTTTCTTCCTTTTTATGTATTTATCTTCTCCTTTTGTGGTACTGGGGTTTAAAAACAGTCTTTGCACTGAGCTACATTGGCAACCTTTATTTATTTTTAAATTTTGAGACAGGGTCTCATTAAGTCATTAAGTTGTGAGGCTGGGCTTGAACTTGTGATTCCTCCTGTGTCAGCCTCATAGAATGCTGGGATTACAGGGGTGTGCCATCACAACTGGCTAGAACCTGTTTTCATAAAAGTGGGTACAAGCTTCTAATGTCACTTATTGGTTGTGTAGACAGACTAAAGAGTAATCAGGAAGGCCATTATGTTTGCTGCATAAGATAACTTCAGAGAGTTTTGGATTTTGTAGGATTTCAGATTTTCGGGTTAGGGATACATTCACTATATAATTTATTCAGATATTCTAAAATCTGAAAAACTCTGAAATCTGAAACACTTCTGGTCCCAAGCATTTTGGGTAAGGGGTACTCAATCTGTACTTTATTTGATTCACTATAATAACTTGGCTTTAAAAAAAAAACTTCCTTTTTTTTTTTTTTAAATACTGGAGGTTGAACTCAGGGCCTTTGCTCTGAGATATATTCCCAGCCCCCTTTTTTTTTTTAAACAGAAGTTTCACTAAGTTTCCCAGATAGGCCTCTTGAACTTGCTATCTTCTTGCTTCAGCCTCACGGAGTACTGGGATTATAGCTGTGTACCACCACACCTGGCTCTGCCTCATTGTAGGACTTTGATGTTACCCTTTAGATGCTCACAGTTCACAGTACGTGGTATAGAATGGCAGTCATTCCAGCGATTAGAGCAGCTGAGCTGCTCTCCTAGTAAGGAACTCCAGATCAAGCTTTTATTCACTCTTTTAGAGAAAGTTGTTATCATCCAGTATCATAATTGCAGTCAGGTAGTAATTATTGTGGATCATTGTTAGCCTCTCCTTTTGAAAATAAACTGAGATATACTTTGTGAATTCTGCAGTCATTTATGAGTTAAGAGCCAAAACGTTGTGTGAAAATAAAATGAAGCATGGCCTTCTCATCTCTAATATAAGATACATGTAGCTCAGCATCAAGTGTGTTCTCCAAATGGCACTAAAGAACTGCCTGGTCACCCGCAGCCTGACTGCAGCTGCTGCCATGAAGGGCCATGCTGAAAGGAACCAGGGCAGCTGAGAAAATTTGTTTGCTTGTCTGAACTTTGAAAGTACAGAGGACAGTATAAGAGGACACTTGGAGAGATGGCACGCGCATGGATTGTGCTGATGCGAGAGCATGGAGTAGATGATGAGCATGGAGTAGAACCAAAGAGCTACTTCTAGAGAGGATTTTGTAAGTCAGATACACATTTAACAGTGAAGACAGTGTTTGCTGGCAGCATTAAAGACAATACAGAAAATAATTTGAGAGGCTACTTTGAAAAGTATGTCAAGACTGAAGTAGAAGTGGGAATTGTGGTGCATACCCATAATCCTAGCACTCAGGAGGCTGAGGCAGGAGAATTGTGCATTAGAGACTACATAAGTTCAAGGCCAATCTGGGCCACATAAGGAAAGCCTATCTAAAAAAAAAAGAAAAAAAGTTGAGAGCAGAAGTTATGGAAGATGGACAGAATGGGAGAAAAGGGATTTGCTTATAACATTTGATAATGATACAGTTAATAAAGTTCTTGTTCAGAAATCCCACACTGTTAATGGGCATAACTGTAAAGTTTGAAAGATCCTTTTTTTTTTTTTTTTTTGGTTTTTCTCCGGTACCGGGAACCGAACTCACGACCTTGCACTTGCCAGGCAGGCACTTTTGCCGCTGAGCTAAATCCCCAGCCCCTCGAAAGATCCTTTTTAAACAAGAGATGTAGCCCACTGGATCACAGAGAGGTTGGAGGTGGTGGAAATAATTTTGGCCATAGTGGAAGCTCTGGTGGAAGAGGAGGCAGTGGTGGCTGTAACAGATTTAGGTGGTTCTGGTTCAGGTAGTACAGGGAGCTATGGTAGTGGGCCAGGCTATTGAAACTAGGATATTGTAGTGGATATGGTAGCAGTGGTGGAGGCTATGACAGTTACAAGTTTTGGCAGTGGTAACTATGGTATTTTGGGGAACTATAATGATTTTGGAAATTATAGTGGAAAACAGCAGTGAAATTGTGGACATATAAAAGGGACAATTTTGATGGAGAAAGCTTAGGCAGTCCCTGTAGCAGAGGGTTCTGAATATAGCAAAAAAGGGCTGCATTTCTTAGGAGAGGAAAGAGTTGTCAGGAAAGCTACAGATTACTTTGAGACAGTTGTCCCAGATACATTACAGGAAATGTAAAAATCTGTCAGAGAAGGAACAATGACCTATAGTCTGAAAGGTTATTGTAGATTAAATAGGAAATCCTTCTTGGTAGGCATTGTCATAGCCAGTTTGCAACAAATGCATTGTAGCATCAGTTAGATATATACTAAGGCCTTGAGTCTGCTGTAGCTTTTTGTTGTTGTTATATCAGGTGTATTGCCCTGTAAATTGGGGTAGTGGTGTCGGGAATAAAAAATTAAAGATTTTTAACTTTTCAAAGCACATACATACATATATAAAATAAAATCCCCAAACGTGTGTGTGTGTGCGTGTGTGTGTGTGTGTGTGTGTGCACGCGTGTGCTGGGGCTTGAACCCAGGGCCTTGTGTATGTAGGCACTCTACCACTGACCTACATCTGTAGCCTTAATAACTCGACCTTTTGTAAGACCGAATAAGCCTTCCCTTTGTAGTCTCATGAAGTCATTTAGGCTATAGATTTTTGGTGGCCATTATTATTGTTATTTTTGCCAGTCACATTATTTTGCATAGTTCTTCTGAGTAGTACATCTGCTGAAACACTTTCTCCCGCTTGGCTGCTGTATCTCAGATATCTTTCTAGTTGCAGCTTCTTGATCTGAACCTCTTCTACCATACCTCCAGCTTCTCAGTTCTTTGTGTCTGATAATGTGGGCTTCCCTCTGTCCTCTCACTGATCATACAGTGCTAAAAAGTCCATTTGTCTGTTTCCCAACTGGGCTATGATACCTTGGAGCACAGAGGTTATCTTTTATCACTGCATGCTTGTATCCCTTTTATACCCATAAGCATCCAAAACCTAGGATATTCAGTTTATTGTTCATTAGACCGTAACCATTTCCTTTATGCCATTCCCAGTATATAGGTACCAGATAAACACTGGCTAATTCAAAGAATGGTGCCTTAAATCCTAAAATTTTTATGCTTTCAGACCCGCAAGAAACAGAAGGAAGACGTGGATGTCGTAGGAGGCAATGATGGAGAAGGAGCCATTGGGCTTGGCAGTGACCCCAAGAGCCGGGAACAAATGATTAATGATCGGATTGGTTATAAACCCCAACCCAAACCAAACAATCGCTCATCTCAATTTGGAAGTTTCGAATTTTAAAGATGGATTCCCTTGCATGACAGAGCCCTGGAATGGAATAAAATGATGGCAGACATACAAACAAACCAGATTTAGAGAATTGAGTACATGCAGTGAAGCGATTATTTTACTTCCTGCAGAGAAAGATAAATTCTGCATGAAATTACTGATGTTCACCTTTCACCTTTCACACTAAGCTGGAATCTGAACTCTGGTTTGTGTCTGGAAAACTACTCTGTAAAACATCTGATTTTTGTTTTTAAAAATAAATATATTTTTGGAAAATATGAGACATCTTTAATGAAGCAAAATAGCTGCTAAGTCCTGGGCTTTGTAAGGTAACTTCTATAAAAGGTAACATCTTTTCTCATTACTAAAAAACTCTAAGCACAGAACATTTCTGGTTGGTCCTTGTCAACGTTTTTTTTGGCTTTTTGAGATAGGGTCTCGCTATGCAGTTCAGGCTGGACTTGAGCTCACTTTGTAGCCCAGGTTGGTCTCAAAACTCGCAGTGATTCTCCTGTCTCAGCCTCCCGAGTGCTGGGATTACAGGCATGCACCACCATGCCTGACAAGTATTTGAGTGGCTTCCATGTCCAATCAGCAAAGATCTCTGCCCTTGTGGCCATTAGATCTATTGCTTTTGTATAAATCTGAGCAAGTCATAAGTGCCTGATCTGTGTTCCTGAATGACTTTGTAACTGTAGGGGACAATGACTCTTAACATATCATTTTAAGATAGAATAATTCTAGTCTTAATGCAAGCCTCAAAATGTGTCTTGAGAAACATCCAGGAGGGTTGTAAAGAGTTAACTTTTCAGTCCTGACTTAGCCCTGGAATGCTTCTCCAAAGATAAAGAACACCAGGGCCCAGATAACCACCTATGACCCTGCCTGGGTTGTTTCATCCTTTCCCTGGCCCTAGATAAACATTGTAACTATAAAGGAAATGTATGGTTATCTAAAGGGGGACAAATAGAACAGAGTACAGACAGTATATATCATTGTGGTTGGGCTCATGACCGGAGCCTGACCCGGTTACATGGCACAAGGAAAACAACATGTGGCCAGGGCTACAACATTCCTGCTACCATGGAAACCAAAAATGTATATAACCTGGGAACAAAGACGGGTCCACGCCCACTTCCCTGACTTGCAAGTCGGGATGAGAGGTGACCGGTCTAAATTAAAACTTTGTCTGTTCTCTTTGGTCTCTTGCGGAATACAGCCCGAATTTTTGCCTTAACATAACCAGTTTGAGTATAACATTGGGAGGACAGAAAATTAGGCAAAACTGAGGACCTCTCCTGACAATGTTGCTGTTGTTCCAATTTTTCTTCCTATTTCAACTTGTCTAATAATGTTTCCAGCAGGAACACATCTTAGCTCAACCTTGGATAATCTTGAATCATCCATTAAATTCAAGGACAAGAAACTACCATCTGTGGTAGTAAACACCTGTAGAATCATCAGTTCTAAAGAGACCCCATAACTGGGTTCCACCTACCCTTTTTCGGATATTTAAATCAGTAAAAATATGGGAGAGTCAGCAAGAGATACATAGTAGTTTCCTTTATGTTAGACATTCTTATAAAATATTCATTCAATTTTATCTACAACCTGTCAGTTTTGTCTGTTTTAGAAACAAAAGCAACAAAAACCTTTCAAGACCATCTTTATTTTTGTTTTTGTGTTTTCTTTCTGGTACTGGGAATCGAACTCAGGACCTTGCGCTTGCCAGGCAGGTGCTGTGCCGCTGAGCTAAATCCTCAGCCCAAGACAGTCTTGTCTTTAGATGGAGAAATCAAATTATATTAGATTGAAGCCCTATGAAGTGCACACAAAGATTGAAGGAACAGGGCTGCCTCAGCTTTGTTGCTATGAAACCCTAGCACAAATTTGCACAGAAGCATGAAAACAATGTGCCTCATGAGTATCTTCCTTTTCCTTACTAATACCTAGCACTAGTGTTTAAGATACTACCGCATGCTTTATGCAGTGAACTCCTATGAGGATACTCAGCAATTAAGTGGTAGAGCTGAGATTTGAACACAGCCTCCTTCCTGAACCCAAGCCTGTAAACTTCACTGCTACACTGCTTTCTTTGGTCTTCCTCTGCTGAGTCTAAGGAAGTGGAGACACCAGGTAGAGAGAGGTTCCTGTTTTTAGGTTTCAGGGAATTTTCATGCTATTTTATTAACAGACTGAGACAACTGCCAGTTCAGTAGATGACGGCTTACTGCAGCTGTTAATCTCTTGGCACAACTGAAATCATATGCATCAACTCTTATTTCTTAGAATCTGTTCATTTCTGGATGACCCAAACTCAGGAAGTTGATTAGGAGCTTGTAGAGAGGCTAACCTTATCTAGAAGTGTTTATCTTTCATTTTCCTGAATGTTGGAGGGAGAATATAATCAGATAATATAAACATATGGCTTGGATGACTATTTTGTGTGGGGTGCCTTACCCAAATTGCTAATTCAAATAAGCCTTTTTACAAGTGAGAAAACTAAGGCTTAAGGTTAGAATACTTTTCCTATAGTCACGTTGCTAGTAAGTGCTAAAGTTCGGAGTCAAACCTACTGACTCCTAAGTCCTTGTTCTTCATGTTACAGTAAGGAGGAGACTAGGAATGGCAAAGTGCCCACGAGGGCCAGCAGCATAGCAAGCAACACCAGCACTCTGGCATTACTGCAGTGGCAGGGAGAAGCAGGGCAAGTTTTGCAGTGAACTTCTTCCAGGCCCAGTTCACAGCCTCCTTTCTGATGGCATAAACACAGGCAAGGGATTATGATGGCTACCTTTTAAATTCAGGAATCCTTGGTATATGGACATACATGCAGCTTCATGAAGATCCTGCCTCCTGTGCAAAAGGTCATGCAGATCTCCTGGTGTGTACTAGGTTGTTATTTTAAGTAGAGGAGAGGAGAGTGAGATGACACTGAGATCATGTCACTTAACAGACCCTGACATCTTAAAAACATGCTAATGGCCAGCCTGAATGCTAACTGAAGAGACCAGCTTCTGATAGCACCTTGGATGGAAAGACGTACTAGAATCACAAAATCAAAATATTTATTTTGTTCCTTTGCACATGACACTGTTAAAACATTCCAACTACAGCAATACTGCTCTCAGGAGCTTACAATCTAAAACAGTCAACATGAATTGTAGACCCAGTGATTAAGGCATTTTTTCAAATAAAGACTTTGTATCTTTAGATGTTTCTTTTGAAGAAGCAGCTGGAAGCGGCAGGATCAAAATTAAAGGATGGGAGTATTTCCCTCCTGCATCACGCCCCCAGCTCCTTATAAGGAACCCCTTGTGACTGGAACCCAATCCCAGTACTCACAGCCTGAAAAGGAAGTTTTGACAATCCTATCTTAGAAGTACTGAAGAAACTTTAATTTTTAATCCTGCGGTGGACACAGGATTTCATTTGTGGCCAGTGGGGGTGTTGAGTGTTCCTTCATCATAGACTAGAGACAGCACCTCGGATTTTATAATGCTGGTGTGGGTACTAGGTAGCCTTTTACCAAGCTTTATAGAAATTGCAGTGGGACAATTGCTTCCAGACACATACTTAAGGTCTCTACCATGTTTATAAATACCAATTTCTGGTTGGTAGTTATATCCACGGCATAGCAATGCCCACAGGATAAAGGACTGAAAGATAGAGAGAAGGTCAGCAAAGTAAGATGCCAAAGAAATGGAGACATAGTCTTCTAACAGATGGGAAAAGGAAAGGAAAAAACAGAAGTTTAGATCCAAAAAAGTCAGAGGCATTAAATTCTAAGTGAACACAGATACAGAAATGAAAGTCAATGAGATCACTGTGTCATCAAAATTCATGAGCTCAAAAAAGACGGAATTTAAACTTTAACTTTTTTCTCCTTCACTAGCTTTGTCAAGGATCTATTAAAATTCATGTTTTTCAGATTCTCTCTACCCTAAACACCTGAAGACTTGTCCAAAACTGAGGTTCCTCTCTGGGAGTTGCAAATTCATAGCACTTTATCTTAACTGGCCTTGATTTTCTCACCCCACTGATAATGTCCTGTTCCTGGAAGGTATTTTATAGCAGCTCATGCCTAGATTTCTAGAGAGCACCAGAGTCACCATTAAGCATTGATTCTTATGTACACCTCAAGGTATTATTATTCCTTGGCTTGTAAGGGATAGAAGCTGTTTATACAATAGGCTGTTTATATCTTAATGTTGGCTGTCAAGTACCTGTCATTCACTTTGCTCATGCTAAGTATCAACATTATGAGGGGATGAAATGTGAGAAAAGTACAAAGGTCTAAACGTTGATTCTTGCATTTTAATCTCAACCCAGTAGGCTCAAACTCTCTCTTGGTTCACAGATGTAGAAGTACACATTTTTTGCTCTCCAATATTTAACCAGTACCCACAGAGAAAGTACAAATTTCAAAACCACAACACAGGACAACAGGATAACTGTGTTTTATCTCCTCTGCCCTGAGGCACAATTGGATCTAGCACCAAGGAGGGCAGGAAAGAACAGACCAGCACAAGAAGAATCACTTTAAAGAGGTAGTTTAGAAACAAGACTACGGCATAGACTAACAACTGAACAGAATAAAAATCCAATGTGATTCTTCATTGAGAAAAGAGGTTTTGGCCACGTGTGATCTAATAAAGCCCCCAAGGGTAATAACAAAGGTGGTCATGTTGTGTATGAGGATGTACCTAGTATGGACAAGGATGTTGGGGGCTAAGGAAAATCTGGGCATCAGCAGACCACACTTCTATGCCTCTCTAAAGAAAGGTGGACTTTTGCCCATCTGGCCCCAAGACTGGCTCATTTTTACTGCAAAGCAAAGGTCTCTCTCAGCCTTCACACTGTTTTCAAGGAATCACAGATCTTTTTAAAAAAGGACTACTGACTTCATACGTGCTGTTGAAAGTACTTTAGTTATAGTCCTTCATACATGTGTGTGAGTACATACACACAGCTGGAGCTGAATAAATGTTTGTGGAATGATTAAGTATTGACCAGCAACATGTACTACATGAGGTATGCCCAGACATACCACCTACCAACCAGCAATTCAAATTCTCATGCCCAATACCAGGTAGTGCGCCACGCCCCCCAGGTGTACTTCCTTAGTTTAAAGCAGACATTCTCAAAATGTGGTGTTCTAGTTTGTCAGCAGAACATCACCTGGGAACTTAGAAATGCCAGATTTAGGGCTCTAGGGTTGAGGCCCGGTAACTAGTGTTTTAACAAATTCTCCAGATGATTCTGATGTAGGCGAAAGTCTGAAAATCACTGGTTTGGAGGCAGACACATGAAAATAAAAATGAGGAATAAAAATCAAACTCTTGCTTTGTGCAGCTGGGACAAAAAAAGGTAGCAAGTCAAAGTAAAATGGCAATGGTTTTATTTTAAAATGTCTATTCTATTTTCTCAAATTGATTCTTTTTTTTTTTTGACTGACAAGCTCATTCTAATCAAAATGTTAAGTGGGAACACAAGCTAATGAGTTAGCAACTCAAGAATACATACTCTACAAGTTCTGGGCCTATATTTAGTCTCAAAATCACGCTTTTGCATACTACCAAGATTTTGGTACAACACATCACACCTAGAGAAAGGCACAATGTATTTTCCCTTTTTTGAAGTTCAAAGACTGGAGCTTAATTTTTAATGTGATGTTTGAGTCTGGGGGATAGTTGGGCAAGAATATCCTTCAGCTGCCAGCCATACTGACTGAAATTAATCTCTTTCCGTCACTGACCCAGAAAAAAACCCACTAAATTCACATATTGTCTGTTAAAAACAGAAACCCCAGAAGATTAAAAAAAGGAAGCAGACAATCAAGTCATTGACTAGAAAGCTACCTGGATTAAACAAGAATCTAGGATGATAGAGAAGACATCTAAGGGGTAGTTTCTCTTCAAGGGTAATGGGAATCTCGGCTTAGAAAAGACAATTTTCCTTGGAGAAGAAACTGTAAACTAAACGTCTATTCAGCAGGTGTGTATGTGTGGGTGCGAAGAGACAGGAACAAGAAGGGATGACTGGAGCAGGAATTGTGTCTTCCAGTCTTGAACTGCTTCCCACTGTAATCAATAAGGCCACACCACGGACTCTGATGTTAATGGCAATGCTCTGTGATGTCCACTACCACTGCCTTCTTCCAGCTGAAGAGGAAGTATCCTGTTCCAGCCCCCGCTGCTACTGCGATGCAGAGGTACCCGTTGTAGGTCATGAAGATTAGCATGAGAAAGTAGCTGATGACCACCTGGATGATATGCAGCACTGTCTGCAGAAGGTGAGGAAAACTCAGCATCTGCTGCCTGGGGAATAAATAGGGACACAACAATCAGACTCACAGGAGCTCTGCAGATCAGAAGAAAGAGGCAGCAGGTGTGGCCATGAGGTGAGCCTCAACTGGACTGCCTGACAGCCACTTGGTGACTCATGGGTAACGTGTGTATATTTTTATTGGTCCCTGAAATAAAACACCATACGGCTGTCCCCTGGACAGATATGGTTATATGTTGTTGGCAGGAGATACATTTCTTGAGAACAGGGTAAAAGGAGAAGTAATCTTGACTTATCTCCACTTTGGATCCTGAAAGGGAAGCCCTAAACCTTCCCATATGTATTTGTTTGAATATTTTTGAGATGTCTACCTTTGCAAGGTTCACAGTCTACAAATAAATGGAGTTAGAATTGTCAGTTGGGTGGTGTAGTAGAAATTCTTGCATTAGAGATCAGGAGATTTTACTACTCATTCTGTGTCATCTTAGGGAAGTTTCAACCTTTTGGGACTTTAGAAAGCTCATCAGTCTAAAGGAAATAAATAATATTGTTTGCTTGAAAGTAGGATGTTGGTCTATAGGATTTTATAAAGTCTAATCTAGCTTTAAGACCTACTTTTATATTAAATCTGAACCTCAATAAAGCATATGCCAGTCAATAGGAAAAACTAACAGTCATTCAAATACTTTGTTAGAACATACACATTAATAGAGCTAGGTTAAACTTTGTATAGAAAAGAATAAATCGTATTCTGCCATTCTTTTATACCTTAACTTGAAATTCCTAACTTTTTTTTTTGAGTTGGGGTCTTCTTGTATAGTTCAGGCTGGCTTTGAACTCACTATGTAGCCCATGCTAGCCTTGAACTTGCAGTGATCTACCTGCCTCTATTTCACTCAGTAGAGGGGTACTGCTAATAGCTGCCTTGCTGCTTAACTAAGCCAGCTCTCCAGAATTTCCATGAAGATTCCATGTGGAGTCTTCTTACCCAACAGTTTTGTGTGTCTCCATGAGGATGGTTCCATTTGGTCCTGGGACAGGCATGGAATTGTAGCGAATGCTGACTTGTGACTTACGCAGGAGACCTTCTCGGGCAATCTTGAGGCCTTCATAGAACATTGCTAGTAAAAACACTGCCACAAAAGCTCCTGCCATTTCTAGATAGGGAAGGAAGAGAGGGAGGTATTGTTAAATATGTGCAAAACCATTAGCCAGTGTGTGTGTTCAGCTAGAAAGACAACATAGAAAAAGTGCTACTCAGTGTTTGAGAATAGTTGTATAGTTAGTTTTTAACTTGCCTAGACAGGACAATAGCTAAGATGTTGGTAGTGAAAGCCATTGCCTCTGCTAAAGAACATATTTCATATTTACTTTTTGCGGGGAGGGGATTGTTAAGGATTGAACCCAGAGCTTTGTGTATCTAAGCACATGATCTATCACTGAGTTAGACCCCCACCCTCCAATTTACATTTTTCCATCCTTCTTTTTTCCTTCCCTCTTCCCTCTTTATTCCCCTCCCCCACCTCCCCAGACAGACTCTTGCTTATTTGCCCAGGCTGATCTCAAACTCCTGGGCTCAGGTGATCCTCCATTCTGCCTCAGTCTGCCAAGTAACTAGGATCACAACTATATGTCACTGTGCCTGGCTTTTTATTATTATTGGTCTCATATTAACCAGTTTAATTTTTTTTTTTTTTTTTTTTGAGATGGCATCCTGTTATGTTGCCTAGGTTAGCCTTGAACTCTAGGGCTCAAGTGAACTTTAGTCACTTGAGTAGCTGGGTGTGCAGACTTGTGCTACTGTGCCAAGTTTACTTTCTGATTAAGGTACAAAAAACCTGTCTGCCTATAATCCCAGAACACTGGGAGGCTGAAGCAGGAGAATTACAAGTTTGAGCCCAGCCTGGGCAATTGAACAACTCAGTAAGACCCTGTCTCAAAGTTACAGAAAAAAAAGTGGGGGGTGCTGATGATATAGCTTAGTGCACAGGCCCTGGATTCAATCCCTAGCACTCCCCTCAATCATTTGAACAACAATAATCTTTCGGTCTGCCTGCTTGATGTCATTAAATTAGCTATTTTACATTAAAACACATAAAGTAGAATACTGAAAAAGGTAATAAATCTGGGCATGGTGATGCACACCTATAATTCCAGCATTTAGGAGGTTAGGGCAGGAGGATTATGAGTTCAAGGTAAGGGCTTCATAGTGAGATCCTGTTTAAAAAAAAAAAAGAGAGAAGAAAAAGGAAACAATCTTTTCTTCTTTTTCATTTTCCTCAGATGAGCTAAGGTATCACTGTGCTTTCCAGGTTGGTCTCCAGCTCCTGGGCCCAAGTAGCCTCCCTAAAAATACCTATTTTGAAGTACTTGGCTACATTTTTTTACTTTTTTACTTCTTGAGACAGGGCTAGCCTCCAGGTTGTGATCCTCTTGCTTCAGCCTCCTGAATGCTAGGATTACAGGACTGTGCCACCACACCCAGCTTGACTACATTTCTTGAATAGACATTTCAATGCTAAACCTTTCACTTTGTGAAGTGCTGATAATGAAACGAGGGTATCACACGGCTAATTTAACATACTGCTTGAACTAAATTCTCCCCTTTCCCCTAAAACAAATGAATTTTATGGATTCAAAGATAAGCCTGCAATAGAAAAAAATATTCTATGCAATAGGAATTCAAAAAACAAGCAGGAGTACCTAACTCATTTTCAGACAAAGTAAACTTTAAGCCAAAGCTGATCAATAGAGACAGGAAGGACATTACATATTGGGTGAACAGACTAGTCAACAGAAAGAGATAATAATTATAAACATATAATGGACCAAACCACAGTGCACCCAACTTCATAAAACAAACACTTATGGACATAAAAGATCAGATAAACATCAATACAATTATAGTGGGGGACCTCAGCACCCTACTATCAAAATAGATTAACTAAATAAAAAAAGCAACAAAGAAACATCAGAAATGAACCAAACCTTTGAAAAATTGGACTTAATAAATATCTATAGAGTGTTCCACCCAACAACAGAATACACATTCTTTTCAGCAGCACATGGTACTTTCTCCAAAATAGACCATGTGCTAGCTAATAAAGCATACTTAAGTACATGCAAAAGAATAGAAATTTTACCATGCATATCATCAATATCATTAGATCACAGTACAATGGAAGTAGAAATCAGTAGCAACAGAAACCACAGAAACTATGCAAACATATGGAAATTAAACAATACAATCTTGAATAATCAATGGCTCACAGAAGAAGTTAAGGAATAAATAAGACAGTTCCTAGAATTAAATGATAATGCCATTACAACACACCAGAACTTATGGGACACAATGAAAGCAGTGCTATGAGGGAAGTTTATAGCTGTAAATGCCCACATCAAAAAAACAAAGAGCCCAAATAAATAACCTGATGATGTATCTCAAGGTCCAGAAAAATAAGAACAATCCAAATTCAGAGCTTGTATAGTAAGGAGACTGTAAAGATCAGAACATCAATCAATGAAATGGAAACTAAAAAAAAAACCAAAAAAACAAAAAAACAAAGACTCAATGAATCAAAGAGCTAGTTCTTTGAAAGAATAAACAAAATAGACATATCCTAGCCAATAAAAAAGGAAAGAAAAGACAAGAATCAATGCAATTAGAAATGAAAAAGGTGAAAAAAAAAACCCAAAGAAATGAAAAAGGTGAAATTACAACAGATACCCCAGAAATCCAGAAAATTATCAGCAGCTATTTCACAAACCTATATGCCAAAAAACTGAAGAACTCAGAAGAAATGGAGATTTCTAGATACATATAAATTACTAAAACTGAATCAAGAAGACTTAAAAATCTTGACTAATCCAATAATGGGCAATGAAATTGAAGAAGTAATAAAAGACCTACCAACAGAAATAGCCCAGGACCTAATGGATTCACCACTGAATTCTAAAAGAACTTCAGGAAAGAGTTAACATCAACAGTCCTCAAACTCTTTAATGAAATTGAAAAGGAAGGAGTACCCCCAAAATCATTCTTAGGAGCTAGCATTACCCTGATCATAAAACCAGACAAAGATTCAACCAAAAAAGGAGAACTACAGGCCAGTCTCTCTGGTGAATATAGCTGCAGAAATCCTCAACAAGATGGGAGCAAACAGAATGCAACAAATCATCAAACAGATTATATACCATGACTGAGTAAGCTTTATCCCAGGGATGCAAGGATGGTTCAACATATGCAAATTGATAAATGTATTTCATAAATACATTTCAGAAGCAAGGACAAAAATCACATGACCATCTAAATCAAAACAGAAAAAGCCTTTGATGGAATCCAACATCCATTCATGATAAAAACTCAGAAGAAAATAGGCATAAAGGGATATTATGTCAATCTGTTAAAAGCCATTTATGACCAACATACTGCCCACATCACATGAAATAGGAAAAAAACTGAAAGCTTTCCATCTAAAATAATGAAAAAGACAAGGATGTTCACTATCACCACTCCTATTCAACATAGTCCTCAAAACATTAGCTAGGGAAATCAATCAAGAAAAACAAATAAAAGGGATATGTAGAGAAAAGGACAAAGTCAAAGTACCATTTGCAAATGAGATGATCCTCAAACTTACAAGACCCCCAAAAAATTCCACCAAAGGCTCCTAAAATTAATGACCAAATTCAGCTATATAGCAGGATACAAAGTAAACACACACAAATCAACAGCATTCCTATACACTAATAAAGAACTCACTGAGAAAGTTAGGAAAACAGTAGTAATCACAATAGCACCAAGAAAAATTAATTACCTGGGAATTAACCTAGCCAGGGAAGTGAAAGATCTCTATAACAAAAACTACAGTACTCTGATAAAGGAGATCAAAGCTGACATCAGAAAATGGAAAGAGACCTCCTGTTCCTGGAAAAGCAAAACCAATATAATCAAAATGGCTCTACATCCAAACTCATATGCAGATTTAATGCAATCTCAGTCAAAATATCAACAGTATTTCTCACAGATCTAGAGAAAATAATCCTAAAATTCATATGGAACCAGAAGAGACCCAAAATAGCAAAAGCAAACCTGGGTAACAAAAGCAAAGCAGGAGGCATCACAATCCCAGATTTGAAGTTACACTACAAATGTGATTTTATAATATATTGTGATTAAAATAGCATAGTATTGGCACAAAAAGAAGCATGTAGATAATGGAACAGAATAGAGGGAGCAGAAATAACCCCAGAAACATTCAGCTATTTGATCTTTGACAAAAAGGCCAAAGATATGCACTGGAGGAAAGATAGTGTCTTTAATAAATGGCATTGAGAAAACTGGATATCCACATGCAGAAGACTGAGTCTAGAACAATATATTTCACCATGTGGTCAAGTAAAATCAAAATGGATAAAAGATCTCAGTGGTAATACAGGAACAATCTGCTAGAAGATAAAATAGGTAAAACTCTTGAAGACATAGGTATAGGCAGAACTTTCTGAAGAGAATCCCAATGGCACAAGAAACAATGCCAAGATTCAACAAATGGAATCATATTAAATTAAAAAAACTTCTGTGCAGCAAAGGAAACAACCAACAGACAACCTACACAATGGGAAAAATTTTTGCCAGCTCAGAGGACTAAAATCTAGAATATACAAATGACTCAAAAAAATTAGACCCCGAAAAAAAAAAAAGAATCAATAAAAGGCAACTGTACAAATGACCAATAAATAAAAAATATTCAACATTGCTGGCCTTTAGAGAAATGCAAATTAACACTACACTGACGTACCATCTTAACCCAAAAAGAATGGCTATCATCAAAAAATCAGTAATAAATGCTGATGAGGATGTGGGGGAAAAGGAACTCTTGTACATTGTTCGTGGGAATGTAAGTACAACCACTATGGAAATCAGTGTGGAGATTCCTCAAAAAACTAAAAATAGAAATTCTATTTGTCCCAGCTACCTCTCTTCTAGGTATCTTCTCAAAAAAGTTAAAGTCATCATATTACAGGGATACATGCATATCCATGTTAAAACAGTCAGATTTATAATAGCTAGATATATGTCCATCAACAGATGAATGATAAAGAAAATGTGGTATTTTTACATAGTGGAACACTACTGTCATACAGAAAGATAAACCTGAGGCACTCACAGGCAAATGAATGCAATTTGAGAACATAATGTTAAATGAAATATGCCAGATATACAAGCTTAAATATTGCATGGTTTCTCTAATATGAGAATATTTCTCTCTAATACATTTATATGGAAATAGATAAATAGGAAGTAGGGAGAAGTTCAAATAATTCCTCAAATTATTCTACTGTTTCAAAAATATTTTAAGATACATGCTAATTTGTTTTATTTATACTACTAGATTCTCTGTTCATTGAAAAAAAAATTGTCCTTTTATTTGGTTATTCTTTATAAGAGATTCTTTTCTGTCTATGACTTATATTCTGAGTGACAGTTTGCCCATTCTTTTAAGATCATGATATACAGTGTAATAACTATTGTTATTCTCTAATTGTTTTGTAATGAGATTTTATTTTTTAATAGAAGAGTGCTTTTTTATATTTCCTTCATTAACATCTACTTCTATTATTAATACAACTAAAATAATTAAAAAACAAAAGAAAACAAAACAAAAAACCCCCCAAATTAAGTGTGGTACCTAAGTCCAACTGACTGTTGGTCTCTAGCAATCTGAATTTAAAGCATATTGAAGAGATGGGTGCTCAGCTACCCCAAAATTAGGAGTGACTAAGAACCAGGAAAGATACAAGTCATCATTTAGTACACTAGAAACAGCTCTGGTCTAGGCAGCTGTAGAAGGCCTGGGTGCTTGTCCTAGTTCTAACATATTAACTCTATAGGATTTAAGGCAAGTCATGTCATGATTTGAGGTTAATGTATCTGTAAAACAAGGGTGTTATGGCTTGTGTCTAAATGTCCCCAAAGCCTCATGGGATCATAGGGGGGCTTTTCAGAGGTGGCTGGATCTAGAGTGTGTGATGCTGGAATTAAGAATATATGATTACTAAATTAGTCCACTGATTTGTTAGTATACTTCTGGGTGTGGGTAATGGGAAGGCCTACCCTGAGTGAGTGCTACCTACCCTAAGGTTGTGTAGTGACGGAGACCACAATAAAACCTACCTGAGCAGGACTTAAATTAATCAACTGGCTTTTCATGTTCACTTGTGAACCTGTCCAAGGCCTAGGCTCCTTATCTGGAAATGGTGGACTCATAGTAAGTGAACCTCTGTGAGTCACTAGTCCCTACTAGAAACTGTAGTGGTGGATGAAGCCAGAAAGGCTCAATGGACAAGACAAGATTACAGCCAAGGATTCCTGGGTCAGATCTCAACTAGATGAAGACTATAGCCTCAGGAATCTCATTGTTCAGGAGATTAACTTCTTACCTTACTTAGAGAAGTCCTTGAGTGGTTCTGCCCTTCTTGAGTATTCCCCTCCCTTCTTCTGATAACCAAATAAATATGGGCAACCCAGAGAAGGTCGTGGTCTTAGCCCTGAGAGAATCATGAATTATGTGAGAGGGCTTTGATTTTCCTGGGGCCCTGAAATCATTCCATTTGCCTCTTTTTATTTAGCCTTTGCCATACACTCATTCAGGAGATTGTGGACCTGATCAGCCTGCAATAACTCAGGGATATTATTAACCCCATAGTATAGCAGCCTGAACAGAAGAAGGGCTGCTCTTGTCACTTCCTACTTTGCTACTTCGCTATTTCTTCACTGCTTTGCTGCTTGCTGCCTTCTGTCTGCCATAAACCATTTCTCCACTGCAATCCTCCTTTGCCATGCCACCCTGCCCTGGAAGCCAGCTGACTATGGAATGAAACCTGTACAAATTGTGAGCTATAATAAACCTTTCTTCCTTTAACTAGGTGTTGGGTATTTTGTCTAGCAATGAGAAAAGTAGCTAAGATAAGGAGGATTGATGAGTTATTTTTAATGTAGGGTTATTTTGTGAAATTTGAATATGTCTGTAGTGGTCAGTTCAGGACCAACAATTTATCAAATAAAGAAACCCTGGGAAAGGGTTTCTATCTAGGATCTGTATTGTTTTTAAGACTTTCAAAACATACCCATGTTAATTAAGGGAGATTTACTGGAAGACCAAACTGTTGCATCTTCCACATTCTAGTTAGGAAATAGGAAGCATCAGGGTTATATAACATGCCCAGACTGATTCAGATATTAAGTAAGAAAGAGGTGCTAGGTATCCAAATTCTTTATCACCATCTCTCCTGTGACTGTCACCTTCAAACACCACCTGATAGCTTACTCACCTCCAGCTGTATTGATCACCAAACCGGAAAACAATAGCTCCACATCCTTAAAGCCAAAGTAGAAGGTCATAGGCTGCCAGAAAACCAAAATACATTAATTAGAGATGACTGAATAACGTAATAAGAATTTTAGGCAAAGAAGCCTAGTACATTTCAAAATAAAGGTCTAGATAAGAAGAGACATATGAGGAAGTACTGGTATCTGTTTATTAGTATCAAAGCACTGAACAAGAGAACTGTCCTGTGCTTCCACCAACTTGTGTCTTCTTCTCTTTTCTACACAAAATATAAAGACCAGAACTTAATTCATAAAAGGCTGAGGGCTGGGTGTGGTGGTGCGAGCATGTAGTCCCAGTACTTGGGAGGCTGAGGCAGAAGAAGTGCTGTGAGTTTGAGGCCAGCCTGTGCTACATAGTGAGTTCAAGGCCAGCCTCCACTGCACAATGAGACCCTATCTCAAAAAAAAAAAAAAAAAAAAAAGAAGGAAAGGAAAACAAAAGAGTAAATTTCAAAAGAAGGGATTAGAGAAAAAAGAATTCTAGATATCTTGGTTCTGGTGTGTCTCTAATTTGCCACATGTATTAGTTAGGCAAGTCGGTTGACTTTATTTCAGGTCTGCTTTAGTTATTCCTCATAGGTAAAATGATCTTTAAAGATAATAAGCTCCCAGTACTAAAATTCCAGTATTTCCATAACCTAAGTGTTTGGGAAAGGGCTTGCATGCCCTCGCCGATGGCACTCACCATCATCGTCATGCTGCCATCTCCTCCACCATGAGAGTGTGAGGCTGAAGTCGTTGGGTGATGGTGAGACGGTGGCATAGTGCTGCTGCTGTTGTCCATATAGTTTTTCCCCTTATGGTGGGAATGATCCATTTTTTCCACGAAAGTTGAGAGCACTGAAGAGCCTAGTACCACCAAAATTAAAAATATATATGTATATGTATAGCTTTAAGGATAGAAAGTATTGTTTTGTGGTTTACATAGAATTTCAAATAGTTGGCTTACATAGAATTTCACCCAATGGATGAATGCTCTCCTAGAATTTTACTCAGAATTATTTTTCAAGATCATCTTTGGAGACGATAGCAGAAAAGATTTGTACTTAAGTTTTCAGATACCTAACCCTTCTTTACTCTGTAATTCTTACAGAATTATTCTTTTAAGAGACATATTTAGCTGGGTGTGGTGATGCATGCCTATAATCCCAGCACTTGGAAGGCTGAGGCAGGAAGATCACCAAGAGTTTGAGGCCAGCCTGGGCTAAATAGTGAGTTCAAGGCCAATCTGAAATACGTAGTAAGACCCTGTTTCAAAAAACAAAACAAATTTAATATATGTTCAAATTTAAATATGAGATAAGGAGAAAATCAGCTTTTTGGGGGTTGCAGGAAATAATTTGTAACAATATACAAATAGATAACATTAAATTTAATTGTTCCATGCCTTTCTAAGCTCAAATGTCAGCAGATAAAAGGCCACTATTTCAGATAATACACCTAATCCGGATGGCCTGTGTTTAATCAGGATATTCTAATCACATTTCACTTATAAGATAACCGACCAACCTTCAGCTAATTTAAATTTGAAGAAAGGTCTATTGCTGCCCTAGGCAAGCAATGTGCTCAGACTTCAGATACACTTTCAATTTTACCAAGGCATCAGAGGTAAGAACTGGAAAAACAAAGTAAATACTGAATATTCTATATTAAATTAAGTCTGTACACTACATACTCAGCCTTGTATCTTTCCTACCACATCACTACTGTAAAAGTCAACTTGGGACATAAATCAGTACCAAGTAATTCCTATAGCTGGAGTTGGGTAGGGGTGTGGGAAGTATGGGGTGGCCTGGTGAGGAAAGTGTTAGTGGGATGTCTTGATGTGTCTCTCAACCTCCATCTGTGGAAGAAAGAGCAGCTTTAGAAATTCCAAGTAGGTATTCATGCTCATAAGCCTGAGTATGCATCTCATTATTCACTCACTCAATCAATGTTTATCAAGCTCCTAATAATAGAGGTTAAATTCTGAGCAAAGTGCTAGTAATTTAACAACGAAATAAGTAATTTAACAATGAATAAGACAAAAGTTCTCACAGGGAGAGAAACAAGAAGTACACACAACAATTTCATGGTGAATATAAATGGAGTGACATGACAACATTACTAAGATGTGCAGAAGAGATATACTTTATATAGGAAATTCATATGTTCATGGAGCCATGTATCCAACTCAAATACAAATAGCCATTTATTTTCCCCTCTTTAAATCCTACCCTACAATTTTATGACAGTAGGCTTAGGAAAAGGGCTTGATTTCCAGTGAAAGATAAGGCAAGTTCCACTTTGAATTTAAACAACTTTCATGTCAGATGCTACGCTGTTTTATAATTGTAAAACTTATAATCTGGTATTATTAATACCATTGTCATAAAGACTAGACTGGAGGTACAAAGAGATATTTAACATGATCTTTTTTTTCACCAATGTTTTATAATAAACACTATATAACAGGACACACAAAAAATAGTATGCACAAAGTGTCAATGATGGGGACAATCAGTAAGTGGGCAGCAATTTTGAAAGGAAATCATGAGGGGATGGAGGAATCATTGGTATCTGAGTGATGATATGGTTATACTTTTGAAACAAGAAAACAAAGTAAAATAAGAATGAAAAGATTTTTGCTAGCCAGAACAACTGATAACACATCTCGTAAAGAAACTGAAGTAGAATAACAAATTTTGTTCTTTTCCAATGACAGCCTGGAAAGTAATGATATTAGGGAACCATAAAAGGTAATTTTGTTCCAATTAGGAACGTGAATCCTGGCCATGACGACACAGTGAATATTTGCTGAATGCCTTTTGTTGTAAGAGACAGGGGGAGATTCACAAATGAACTGTAGATAGTATTTCCTCAAGGAGTTTCAGGGTTAAAAAGTAGAAGGGGAAACTGAAAAGCAACATTTTTTATTTTGGAGAATATGACAAGTAAAGGACAGTTTAAGAAAATAAGAACATAGCACTACAAACCACTTAAGAGTTGTACCCTTGATTTCTTTGGTGAACATTTACAGCATTCTTCCTATTAACAATGTGTTTTGTTTTTTCAGACAGGGTCTCACTATGTTGCCCAGGCTGACTTCAAACTCTCACTGATCTTCCTGTCTCAGGCTCCCAAGTGCTGGAATTATAGTGCTGGGGTTACAGGGATGCACTATCATATCCATTCCCATTAATAATTTTTGAAGACACACAGATCCTTTTTGTTTAGGCCTCTCAATATTTATTAGAAAAACCTGTTTAATGTATTGTCAAATTTCCTCAGATATAACAGTGATCCAGGAATTCATATGTTCAAATCTTTAGAAAAGGGGCCGGCACAACACCTGCCTGGCAAGCACGAGGTCATGAGTTTGATTCCTGGTACCAAAAACAAACAACAAAAACAGAAACAACTATAACAAACAAAAAATCTTTAGAAAAATCCTTCAAAGTATGCGCCTATTTTATCTTTTGGTAGTACTGGGAGTTCAATTCAGGCCCTTAAAACAGGCTAGGCAAGCACTCTACCACTGAACTACAGCCCTAGTCCCTATGTACCTGTTTCGAAGTATTATCTGCAGGATACCTTTTACATTCATATATACTACAAAACAAAGCAAGAATAGAATTTATTTGTTTTTATTGCCAGTGGACAATAGACTTCTATAATGGCTTTTTTTCTTTTTTTGTCTTTTCTTGAGACAGGGTCTCACTATGCAGTTCAGGCTGGCCTCGAGCTCACTTTGTAGCCCAGGCTGGTCTTGAACTCACAACAATCCTCCTGCCTGAGCCTCCCGAGTACTGGGATTACAGGCGTGCACTACACACCTGGCTCAAATTTCTATAAATTTCACAGCCAACTTTATTTTCTTTCTAAGAACTGTTTTCCCTAATTTAGCACTACTATCACCATCTAAGAATAACATCCAAGGTCCACAAAGCAGCTGGACTGTATTTTTAAGGAGTCAAGGTTCTTGATTGCAAAGCAATTACAATTAATGGCATTTGTGGAACAGTGAGCAATGCACCAGATGTGGTGATATCTGTCTGTAATCCCAGCAGGAAGAGAGGCTGAGGCAGGAATATCACAAATTCCAGCCCTACCCTAGCAATTTAGCAATTTTGAGAGACCCTCTATCAAAATCAAAAAAAGGGCGTGCAATAGATCTTAGTGAGAACACCCTATGTTCAATCCCCAGCACCCCTCCCTCTCAAAAAGGTAATGATGATGATTGACAGGTGGAACTTTAGCAAAATCTCAGGGACAGAACTGAAAAACCAACAAAATCCCTGAGGATTTTTAACTTTCAAACTGATAAAACCTACCATAGTATTTTATTAACCAAGGTGAACTTAAAACTAAGTGGAAAGAATAGAAATACTATATTTACATTTTTTTCCAACTCAAGTAAACTAGTTTTCTTTAATAGAATTCAAGATGGACTCACAATAGCCAGTCACCTTTGCACTAGATAATGGAGTTATGGAACTTAACTATATAATAGGAAAATATCTGTCAAAGAATTTGAAAGTGCATTGACTTGAGAAAGTTACTTAGCCTTTCTGGAGCTGGTTTCCAGCCTTCTGAACTTGGAGAAGAGGCTACTAGGAGTATTAAATGAGATAATTCATATAAAACATCTAGAAAAATATCTGAAAAATGGTAGCTGTTATCATTATGTGGAATAATAGGGCATAAAAGACCTCAAGTAGGAGAAATTCAATAATCAACCTTTGTGGTAGAAGACATTAATCAACATATTAGCATTCTGTTAGCTTCTTTTTGACACACGATTGTAGCAAAAATCAGTTTCAAGTTTCTGCCTATCCTAACTCTTGAGGTCATGAAATGACTTATCAACAGGCAAATGGATAGTTCCTTCCAAGAGCTCCTTCTTGTAACACAGAACATTTTTTGGATCTTTAAGGAAATGAGAAATGGCTTAGGACCATTGAAAAAATTCTAGCACAAATATGCATGGAACTTTGCACATAAAATAAGAAAAGACTTTCTCAGGGAGACTTTACACTTTTTAGTTTCTTCAGAATGTTTACCTTGTCTTCATTTAGGTACCAAAAATTGGCTATATGCCAACTTGTTTCTGTTGTCCCGAGTACTGTTAGATATGAGAAATGGCACATGCTACATGCCACTGGGACAGCTTTGCATTTTGTTCTGCTTCTTCTTTTTCCTTACTTATTAAGTGTGGTGCAGTATCTATACAAATAGTACAAATAGCTTTCAAAACTTCCTTGTATTCAGTGGTATAATTCTTTCATAGTCTACCTCTGAGGATTATCAAAACAGGAGTTTCCTCTATTCCTGCCCCAATAAGGACTTGTCCATTATGAAGCCTGATGGCTAGAATCTACAATCTCTAGTAAAATAAACTTAAACTTATGGACAGAAGTTAGGAAATTAGCCAGAAGGCTAAATTCTGATGGCCATCCTGAGTCTTAGCACTGAGGTTAGTTCTAATAGGTTTAGTCTAAATCTCAAATTCTCTTATTTTCCTGATATTAAACAATGAAGGATGAAAACCAGCATTTCATGGGGACTATGAAGATTACAGCCCACAAAAAGTCTACACAGAAGTGGTCATACATTTGTCACATGGTCCCTCTTTCCTAGCTTAGACAGATGTAATCTGGGGTTGTACACAATTCTTCTGGAGACTGCCTGTAGTCTTTCCTGACTTTCACTCATGATAAGGGAGATAAGGAAGAAGGTTTTTATTCTTCAAATGATTAGGCTCATGTTCCTTTTCAGATTTGTAAAAACAGAAAACAAAGAGAAATCTAGTTGTTTTTCTGCTTTCTGTAGCCTTTACTTATGATTGGTGGCTTAAATCTGTCAAACAC